CCCTGTGACACTTAGCTGAAGGCTGACAGGACAAATGTCAATCGACTAATAATAGTGGTGATGGCAATAATAGTCATAGTTAATAGGAGAGCAGTCACATTATAAGTGGGTGCTCAATAAATATTGTTTGATAGATTATCTAGTAGACACAAATTTGCTCATTTGAAATCTAGAGCACAGGGATCTTATACATTTCAGCATTAAATTACCTCTGGGCAGGGAAGATTCAGAGGCATGGCTTTCTGATGGCAGCCAGATCTGATCAGTCACTCCAGACAAATCCATGAAGGTAGCCCAGAGCTTTTCTTTTTACCCACCCTGATGTTTCTCTGCCAAACCCAATCCCTGACCAGTCACATGACATCACATGCTGCAGCCAAACTGCCATGCACCCCCCAAATTCCTGTACCCCAGAATGAGGACCTGTTTGTGCCCCTACGGAGATTAGGTAAAATGTTACTAATGGAGGGGCAAACAGATACCAGTGGGTTGTGTTTGTTTAACCCTTGTCTTGGCAGCCCATGAGCACCTGGGACCTCTGAGATTATTTTAAAAGATGGCTGGGTGGGAAGCAAGAGCAGGATAATGCCAAAGACTGGACACCAACAAGGGGAGGAATATTTCAGAGGCTTCTGCTAATTCTGGGGAAAGACTGCAGTGAACTGCTTAATATCCACAAATCCCTCCTTTCCTGGTATATTCACTTCTTTACAATCTGATTGTACTGCGCCTCCCATTTATAGGTGGAGTCTATATCTCTGCCCCCATCAATCCGGGCTGGCCTTGTGGATTTGCTTGGACCAATAGAGCACAGAGATGGGGATGGTGAATGAGTCTTGGAGCCTACGCTTCAAAATGCCCTGTAGCTTGGACCTCTGCTCTCTTGGAAGCTGCTCTCAGGGAAAATCTCTTGAGAATGAGCGAGGCCCAGCTATTGAGCTGCCTCAGCCCCATCTACCCCTAGGCTAAATACAACCCATGAGAGAAGCAAGGTTTGACTACCAGTAAAACCACAGATCACCCCACAGAATCCTGAGGATAGCAAATTCTTGTTTTGAGGTTTAGGGTGGTTTGTTTACAGCAAAAGATCATGAAAACAGGCCAACGAGTATAGCCAACCCTTTTGTCTTTCTTTCTCTCTTTCTCTGTTTTTTTAAAGATTTTCAAAAAATCAATCTAAGGCCAGAAAGGGAAGTAACCTAAAGAGATCATTTTATGTCTTTCTGTTTCCCTGATTTATGAGGTTAACTGGAAAGTCACCAAACATTATTTCTCATTCTCAACTTTGAAGTTCATTTGACTTTAATTAGAAAAACTGTTCATTTTACATGAAATGAATAACACAAAACTAAATTCAAATATTATTCCAATGTGACTTAACACTGAATTATAAATTTAATGGTTGAGGGTTAAATACCCTTCAGAATTTTTTTCCTGGGAAACCAACAACATTTACAAAAATAGGCATAGGGATTTTTTTTTTCCCCCTGAAAGTTCTCAGTAAAGCAAAAGAGAACAGCTCTGTTATCAAATTACCCCCAAAGCCTTAATTAAAGTCAAATGCTAAGGGAGATTTCAAGTTCCTTAATTTTATTGACTAATCCACAAAGAGAAGCATCAGAAAAATATGCTGCAGTTCTTATTCATATACTTCACAATAGAACTTATTTATTTTGATTTATGTATTGACATATGTTTGTAACACCTACACAACATTAAACAAATTTATCTCTACCTAAATACAGCAATAAGCCTGTTTCCACAGAAAATCCTGAATAGGGGGCACCTGGGTGGCTCAACTGGTTAAGTGACTGCCTTCGGCTCAGGTCATGATCCTGGAGTCCCAGGATTGAGTCCCGCATCGGGCTCCCTGCTCAGCAGGGAGTCTGCTTCTCCCTCTGACCCTCCTCCCTCTCATGCTCTCTGTCTCTCATTCTCTCTCTCTCACATAAATAAATAAATAAAACCTTAAAAAAAAAGAAAATCCTGAATATATGGCTGTTTTCCTATTTATTTACCTACTCATCAAAATTCCGGCAAGCATTTCACGAGACTGCATTAGTTTGAAACACTCCAACATTTCTTTTTTTTTTTTTTTTAGGTTTTTTTTTTTATTCATGAAAGTCAGAGAGAGAGAGAGAGGCAGAGGCAGAGGGAGAAGCAGGCTCCCCACCTAGCAGGGAGCCCGATGCGGGACTCGATCCCAGAACCCTGGGATCATGACCTGAGCCGAAGGCAGACGCTTAATCATCTGAGCCACCCAGGCGCCCCCACTCCAACATTTCTATTATAAAGTTTTCCCAAGGTGTCTCTAGTGAAGCTGGGAAGAAATATATATGTATACGGGTTCAAATATAACAGCAAAACCTGACTGGAATGCCTACATTTGCAGCAGGAGTTATATCCAGAGTTGCCATAGCAGCCGCCCACACTCCCACACTCATAAACGAGTGGCAGGGGAGAGAGAAAAGCAGTTAGCAGAGAACAGAATCTATTGTTAAAAAGACAGAGGTACCCTGCAATGTAATTACAAGGAGGAATCCTGACTTTTAGTCTGAACCACTGTTTAATGATAGAAGATTTCCGAGTGCTGGAGAGTTATTAAATGTTTTTTCTCTAAACATATCTACCATCTGAACCCTCGGCCGTAACCTTTATGGATGCTGAGATTATGTGGCAGCAGGAGGAAATTTAGCTGACCATGCACACACTAGAACTAATATGATTTAATATCCCTTCTCTGGAATATTTGGAATCACTGTAGCCAGGGAAATGGGTGGTTCTATGGATCTGGACAGGTTACTTCACTTTCTGAGTGTCCTCATCTGTAAAATGGGCATAATAATACTACATACTTCAAGGAGTTTTTATAAGGATCCAGTAAATTAATACAAATACTCAATTACTACATAAATAGTAATAGCAATCAATAAAGAATAAATTTTAATACAATTAGTAATATATTAAGTAAGTAAAAGTGAGGCACTTGGTGCTTGACACACAGTAAATGCTCAATGAATGTTTGCTATAGTAATTATAATTATTATATAATTATAATATATTTTATATATAGATAAGAGGTTGCTAAAACACTTGCCAGCTGACCAGAGGCAAGACAAGATATTAAGATTTCTCCAGGACTTAAAAGCATAATGCCTTCTCCCAAAGCGATGCCTTTGAAAACACGATTTTGGCAGAACAAAAAGATCAAGTATTTATAGTACTCACACATTCACTACCATTGGCAAACCCTGGTTAGACAGCAAAACCAATCATCTATTAGTGCTAAAATAATCATGTAACAGGATTTGGGTTCAGAGAGTATTCTGGAATTTGTCTCAAGTCATTGGCTTGATCACATATGTATATGCAGATATTTGCAATTCATCCTCGGATACAAATAACAAGGTCAGATTTAGAAGTGATGACAATGAATGAAAAGTATTTTGTGACTTCTGATTCACTCAAGTTTTAAATCTTCATTTTCAGGTTGAATGCTTCATATTCTAAGAGAGATGGGACATGTAGTGAAGCAATATAATGAATAAGAAAGCAAAGCTGATGGGATAAAGAAATCAGGGGAAATTGGAAGAGTGGAGTTGGGAGCACACTGGGGAAGAAGGGAGTTGTAACTGACAAACTATACAGAAGTCAGAAGACAGTGGAAGAGAAAATGGATAGGATGAGATTTGATCTTTAACTCTATAAAACCTTTTCTGATGGGATTTTTAAAAGTCCAGGCTGTGAGGGACAGAATTAGCTCAGCTTGAAAACTTTAGAAATGTTAAAATGCATGTACTTATGGCCTCCAGAATTATCCTGCCATTGTGAGCTGTATGTATGGTGCTATATTTTCCCTCCTAAATTGTTGCTTATTCAGTAATTTTGTTTCCAATCTCAAGTAGAGATGTCATAGGGTATTACTGGGTATTCTCTCTGCTTTTAGAGACAAGCAGACACGACTGCATTAAGAATATCAGAAATATTTCCGTAATCAAATAGCTCCTTGAGGGTAAAAATAATTCTGAGTTTTTTTTAAGTCATCAGCAATGAACAGGTCCTGAGATCTCTAGTCAATGAGCTGGAATCAGAAGAAAGGAGCTATTAGAATCATTGGAAAGGAGGACCCCGAAAGACATTTAAAATCTTTGAACTTTTTACTGTAGGCATGGAAAAGCCTACAGAATATATTTTGGGAGTCCAGCTCCAGAACTACAAGGCAGATCCTGGTAATAGAGGGAAGGGCAGATGGCAGGAATGCTGGGTCCAGGAGCTGCCTGTCAAGGCTGCCCTTCTTTCTACCCCTGTGAAGCCGTAACGCACTCAACCATGACCATTTACTTCCACCTAGAGGTCCTGGACATCTGCAGGAGGGGTCTGGCTCTCACCACCAAAATGATGGCAAAGACTCAAGAATAAAGAAAAAAAAAACATAATTTACAAGGACATTTTGGCTAGCTCTGTGCGAAAGTAGTGAAACACTAGTTGAGATAGACAACTGTTACCAATAACCAAACAAAAAACTTTCTAAAGAAAAGACTGCCCCTTTCCCCACCTCCACCAGAGAATGTTAAAGCTTGAGTAGGCAGCTAAGAGGCCTGGATAGTTTTCTTAATTGGGCTATTACAAGATTATGGGGACTGCTACGGGACAAATTTGTTTCCATTAAGCCCTATTTAACATAAAGACAAACATATTCTCAAATAGAAATGCTAATGACTATATTCTTTAATACAACCAACTACCCACACATAATCTCATGAGAGTCAACTGACTTAATTCTATCCACAGTCCAAACAGCTATTATTAAAAATAAATTAAATGGCTAAAATATTAAATTTAATTAACAAAATAAATTCAATAATAATAATAATTTAATTTTATTAAATTTAATTAATAAATTAAGCTGCTAATGTGACTTCCATTATGGCAGAGAAAAAGAATTTCTACATTGGGAGAATGAACAGAAAGACAAAGACTGGTTAATAATCCTTACTTACTGTCAGATACATAGCTGCATAGACACTGAGAGCCGCTTCTTTGGATGGAAACGTCTTCCTTGCTCTCATGATGAGATCTGGGTTGCCCGTGCAGGCCTCTTCCCCACTGATGAACTGTGTATACTGCTGACATCCAAGCGCTGTATAGTTGGGCTTACACAGGGCAAGAAAATGTGGAGCCAGATTCCCTGTGACTACTTGCCCAGCATTGACAAAGATATCTGTAGCAAATAGCCCAAATGTATAAATACCTGAGGAAGAAAACAAACCATCGTTAACTCTGTTTTGTTTTGTTTTGTTTGTATTTCAGTTTACGATAAGCCAACATGGAAATATTTTAGAAACTATAAAATAATTCATACATACATGTGGTTCCTTCCATTTCACTTCTCTCCAATTCTTTGCTTTCTGGAGTAGTGGGAGTGTTAAATTATTTAACATATCGAGCTGTCTACCACTGGCTACAGTTTATGCATGGCAGGTTTATGACATAAGATAAAAGAAGATATATTCTAAGACTGTGTTTGGGTAATGCAATCTTTAAAAAGGAGACATATTTCTCTGGAGAGGGCTCAGCCTCTCACCTTCTACTAGTGTTAGCCATCTTGATTTTTCCCTATTTTGAAAATATTTTGCATCTTATAAACATAAAGCAGAGCAGGTGTCTCCCTTTGATTATGCCTCTTAAACCCATTCAGACTGACTTTAACTCTGCTGGAGGTACCAATTAGCAGTAAAATCCAATGCCATTAGTTTTCATTTAAATGTCGTGGAAAATCTTAAGAAGAATGGTTCAGATTGCTGTCTACACTGCTTTCACAAACACATTTTAAAAAGTCACATAACGACTAGTAACTTAGTTCCACCTTATATTTTATGGTTGGACTTTATCAAATTTGGGGCAATTTCATAAATAATAGTGCAGTCAAAATTATGACTTTTCAATTATCTTCACAGCATTAAAATTTATTCGCTTTGGTTACCGGAACATATAAAATTAAGTATACACAGATTTTTTTTTTATGAGGAATGTGACAATTTACTCAAATTAAAAAAAAAATTTCTAAATTCAATGTCATTGGTCATTAGAACCAAAATTTATTTTTCTCCTCTATTTAGGCAAAATAAATTCCTTGGCACCATTTTCAATTAAACTGACAGATACAATCTTTGAGGATGTGGTACCAATGTGAAGAAATCTATTCTTCTTAATTTTGGGAAATAAAATTCCATCAGGCATTTTTACATTATGCCAGGAGAAAACTTCCCAAACAGTTGGTTCATTAAAAAGTCATATGGTTCTATGATAATAATCAGATGCTTTATTTCTTAGTCATAAATTTCTGGATTGTTTGTTTGCTAAACCTTTATACATAATTATTGGCTGTTATTAGGAAGTCACCAGGAAAGTTGTGCAGGATCAAATAATTTTCCAGCACCAGAAGCATGGCTATCCTTTTAATTTTTGAAATATTATATAAGATTATAAAAGGCTCAGGCACATAAACCTGCACATAGCAAAACTCTATGTGTATACAATGGCAACGAAACAAAGACCTTAGTTCTTTATCTAGAAACGTTAAAAGGAAATAATGAAAAGGTCTTTCTTTACATCTTCCCAGCATTTCATGAGTCATACAAGTAACTGTTATCAAAAGCAGAAACTTAGGAGAGGCAGAGAAATGAAAGAGAATGGAGGAGCTTAATAGAACGTTCATGTACATAACCTCTGCTTCCAAACATCATGGCCCAGCACAGGAACTTAACTGGCAAGTCTTCATCTCTACTCCCTTGAAATCTAGGCTAAGATGTACTCATTTTATTTAACCAAACCATTCTCTTTATCTGCTGTAATAAGTTTTCCCGTGTAAAATAGAGAGAAGTATTTGATAAGGATATGGAAATGTCTCTTGATACTTGTAAAGTTTCTAAATGTGCTTTTGAATTAAAATATTCAGTGCATCAGGCCCAAGGCCAATACTGTAGCTACAAAGATACTTATTAAAGTGAGATCCCATGAATGTATCCACAGTGCTGACCGCCAGGATAAAGTCCCTACAAAGAATGATGCCCTATTATGCAATAATGTTTTGCTTATAAACTTCCCATTTTAACAAACCAGAAATATCCAAATCATAATGAACAAGGGAAAAGAAACAAATCAAGCATTCGTAAATATTTCATAAAATCATATAATGAGAAACATACACAGATTTAAAACATGCTTTATTTTGTGCCATATATTCTTTAGAAATATGTGTGCAAATGCAAAAAAATATCTACTTAAGTAGGCATAATAAAATTTGCTTTAACAGTATTTTGGAAAGTGTCAATTTTATCATTTTTAGTTTTGAGTATATTATTGCTTATTTTGTTATTAAATGACTCATGCAAAGATAATGAGTCAAGAACACAGTATTGATGCATGTAAAAAATAGCTTTTTAAAGTTTCATATAAAAGTTGTCATCACTTCAACAGTATAAAAGAGGGCTTTGGAGATGCATAACTTGATGGCAATAAAAAGAACAGTCTTAGATATGGAGACCTTTTGTCTTTAGAGAGATTCAAAGGCAAGATAACATTTGATTAATCTTTAAGTGGATTTATATATAGATTAGGTGATCTATGCATAATATCTCTAAAGTCTTCATCTTGATCCCACCGATATGAGAAATATATTGAAGGGTACAGGACCTTAATCTCAATCTAAGTACAGATAAAAATTTATCTTAAATTTTATTTAGCATATACAGACATACTTTTTTATCTGGTAAATACTGGAAATGATAATTTATATTAAACTTTATTGTGTCCAGTTAAAAAATTTGTCTTGGCCAAGTTTCTACTGAATTGAAATGATTTGCAATAATTCATCAATGCTTACATGTATTAGTGCTAGATTTTCAGACTGAAGGCTCAAGTATCAGTAAATCTTTTTCTAAAATTAAACATAACATAATAAAAAAAATAAAAAAATTTAAAAAAATTTTTAAATTTAATTCCAGTATAGTTAACGTACAATGTTATGTTAGTTTCAGGTGTACAATATAGTAATAGTAAATCTTTTCCTCTAATAAAATCACTAATACCTTTTTGTTCACATTAAAAAAAAAGCTCAGAGGTAGTGCATGGAGAGCTACATCTGATAATTAACAAACACAACATATCTTTTCTTTGCTAAGCTATTTTTCTTGTCTTTCATGATGTTCAACAATCTAACTAGATTACCATTTCTCCCCAAGCACTGTTTCTGAAATTTCATAAACACAGTAAATCATTTCTTCTAATTATATAATTTTTAGTTTCTTAAAGAATATTAAACGTCCAAGTGTGATGTTCTTTTTTTTTTCTTAAAATAATATGGAAATTACATCTGAGGTGGAGCCATACAAGAGAAAGTAGTATGCACTGTTATTTTTAAAACCAAACAGACATTTCAAATAAAATATAATCCGATATTTGCATAGAGTTAAAATGCTGATCATTTTAAGGGTTAACTTATACATAAACATGGTTTCAGCAACAATAAAAATAATTCAATGGGGCGCCTGGGTGGCTCAGATGGTTAAGCGTCTGCCTTCGGCTCAGGTCATGATCTCAGGGTCCTGGGATCGAGTCCCACATTGGGCTCCCTGCTCGGCGGGGAGCCTGCTTCTCCCTCTGCCTCTCTCTCTCTGTCTCTAATGAATAAATAAATAAAATCTTAAAAAAAAAAAATTCAATGAACACATACCCAAAAATCGTACAGTTCGCCGCACCAGTGGGTTTATATAGCAACAATCTCCAGTTAAAATAGTTTTCTCCTGGTTTTCAAAATCCCGTGTGGCCAGTTGTAGACAAAACACTGCAGTCTCTCCAACTATTATCTTGCAAGAAAATAGAAGGTTAAAGAACATTAGAATTTAAGCAGTATAAATGCAGAATAATTTTATTTTTTAAAAAATGCAAGAAAGTAACTCCTTTGAGTGGTAACAATCTCAATCTAAAACTGAATCACATTTGCTTAACTAAACCCTTTTATTAGAACATTATCCCTATGTATACAACCCATATTTCTCTCAATTCAAGGGAGTATTAAACTGATAAATTATGAATACAAATGTACCATACCATTTTTGTTTTCTGAAAGACTTCATTCAAAAAAAATTTACAAAGGATCTTTAAGGACACACGTATTTATTTTTGGTATGTAACTGAATTCCATGTTTTATTTTTAAGTGATTATGTCTTGCTTAAATTTGACATTCCACAGAGATCAGAACAATTTTCTATGAAAATATTCTAGAAAGGATCAGATAAAGACATCCTAAAGTCAAATTATATTAATACTTTCATAACAAGAAACAAAATCAATTCCCAGGTATTTGGCCTTGAGATTATCCTTTGCCAAAATCTCATTATTCTATTCTGAGACAGTATTAAAAGTTGTAATCATTAATATATTCTTTATATTTTGGTATACATATGTCATTTTAATCTTCATAAAAAATGAAACAGAAAATATTATCATACTTCTTTTATAATTGAAAAAAACAAGACTTGAAGCTCAAATGAATTGCCCAAAGCCGCAGAGCCAGTAAGGAGAAAAATTAGATTCTGGTACAGATTCTTTGCTCTACTATGCTGATTTACTAAAGGACCTGCCTATTTTCCCTTGGTGTTTATACCATTTTCAGTGGTTTTCATACATGGCCTTTAAAATCACCCAGCAAGGTATTAGAGCATGTGTTAATATTCCTCCATGAACGAGAAAATGAAGGCTTAGGGAGGTTAAAAAATTTGCTCCCCATCAAGCCAGTCAGAAGACAACCAGAAATTGCTGACTCAGCCCCAGATCTTTTGACTCTATTTAATACCATGATCAACACTAGAAATATGATTAAGAGAAAAGAAATGGAGCAAATGTCATGTTGCCTAATTTGTCATTATCAAGGTTAGTTTCCAGTACATCTTGTCTAGGTTAAGTAACATACTATACAGAGAGTCCCTAACATTGCCTGGAAAAATGTTTTTGGGGTCTTGATGAAAGGTAGTATCTGTAATTACAGGATACTCAAAATTATAAGTGGGAGATACAGAAGTTCATAGGAGATTAAGTGTTTGGCCTAGTTCTACTCCAATATGAGTAACAGATTATAGAGCATTTCTTAATTTTTATTCTTTCTAACTTTTCCTCTTTTCTTACTGTATCTCTTCTTCCAAGGAGGTCAGGGTTCAAGGTTAAACCAGTAGATGTTGAGCTGAATTATATTAAAGGAATCCAATCTTGCCTCTCTGGTAAGACTGGATTGAATTAGGAAAGGCTGGCGTTTACAGCCTCCCAAATCCTCTTGAAATTTTTAACTTTGGTAAAGTAGAGCAGGTGGGTGATGAAACAGTTCATCTGGCCTAAAGAGGCACAAGAGGTATTTTCTATGGGTTCATCAGTTGCCACCAGGGCCCTAGTAGAAGCTGACAAATAGATAAGCTGTGTGCCTGACATCTTCTTATCTTCCTTTCTGAATCACTCTTCTGCTGCTCTTTGGAAGAAGTTGCTTTCTGAATTTTCAGTTTCAACTTCTTTCACGTCTGTTTTGCCCTACAATGTTCCAAATTCTAAAAATCTATCACCTACTCCACATCATGAGCTGCCTGGCTCCTGGCCTGATTCTGCCCTCCCAAGCCTTCTCTCCTCCAGAGCATGTACCAGGGGGTCTCTACCCCCAGGCTGGCTCCACCCCCTAGTCCCTGGCCCTACCCCCAACTCCGTCTGTTAATCCACGATACACAAAATTCCTCTGAATGTAACAGATACCCAATAGTTCTTACTAAATATATGTGTGAATTCCATCCTCATTAGATCTGAAGGTCTCAGTCAGCCTCTGACCTTCTGCCTGACTCCTAATAACCAACTTCTGCCTTGTTCCTGTGATGAAGGCTCTACACCCTAGTTCCTTCCTATAACCAGATCCTGGATGCTCGTCCCTGACTTGATAACGCGTTTGGTTACCAGGTTCCTACCAGGCAAAGACCTGCCTTGTCCAGGCCCCTCTTCCTAGGGCTCTGCTTCTGTTTTCCTAATGCTAACCTCTTGCCTGGCTGTGTGTCAGCACATTGCACATTTCTGAATTCCCTATTTGTGTCTTCAGCCTATCTGCTGAAACACTGTCTCAATCAATACTCTTTGGCTGCTACTAAAAGAAACTCTCTCAAACTGGATTAAGCAAAACTGGGAATTTATTCTAGGGTTTGGAGTGTTATCTCAGAACTTGGGGGATGGGGCTCAGGATCAGGTCCAGGAATGGAAATTCCTCAGGAGTCCAGGCAACTACTCTCTCCGTCTCACTCCCTGTCTCTGGAGTTACACTGCCTCTCAGCTCTTCTCTGAATGCCTGACTCATTCTTGTCTTTCTGCAAACCAGTTCTCCTGCTTCTTAGCGTACACGATTGCCCCAACAGTTTCCAAGAGCCCTATTTTGAACATGTCAGCTCAGTTCAGGGAAAGTTCAACTAATTAGATTTACTGCATCCCAACTCCAAATTCCCAGGGGGTTCAGCTGGGGACAGGTGTCTCTTCTGGTCCAATTCACCAAAGTTAAGAAGGTGTGTCATGGTGCATGAAAACTGCCTCTCTGGGCAGAAAGCTTAGTTCTCAACAAAAGGGAGTTGCAGTGATGTCTACCTCAACTCTCATCCATCCCATCCTGCTGGATTTCCCCCCTCCCCCACAACGCTAGTTCTTTCTCTAGACTAGCCCTTTCTACCACATTCTCTGGATATCGTGTTCTGTGTGCCTACTGGGACTTTATCTCAACAAATGTAGGTGCCTAGACCCTAGTGTCTGCTTTTCTCTCGTGGGTGTGTCTACTTCACTTACTTTATTTCTGTCCCCCCTCACTATGATATCTGTGGAACTCTTCATCCAAACTGTACTCTCCCTTAACCCCTCCACCCATCCCAATTTCCTAAGTTCAAACTCCCATTGTTTATTACCATCAGCAGATTCCTGTAATGAAAATAAAACAGTTTTTATTATGATGAATACTTAAATACCTTCTGAGTTAAGGACTCCGTGTTGGGCATTGCTGTTTAAAGAAAGCTTTATAACCTAGTTGGGTGGACACAAATGAAATAGTGAATAATGGCAGGAGTCTGAGTTTTAACTGGGTTGGACAGTAACTGCCAGTAGCACATTTGGAAAGAAATGCTACTGCGTCACTGGAAGCATCTGTGGTTGAAGTGAGATGTGCCATTCAGATTCTCCTGCTGCAGGGAGGCTTTCCAGCTCACATGCCCAGCTGCTATTCCACTGGGACCGCACTTCCTGTGGGTTCCTTCTAGCAAATGACTAACTAAGCATGGTGGGGGTACCCAGGAAAGCCTGTTCCCCTGAGATGTGAGGTACCTCAGATTGGCAATTTTGATTTTAAAACTGCCAATCAGCCTGGCCAAGTCTTTCTTGAAACTGCGTTGTTATCTGAGGGGCTTGCTACCCAATTTCCCTACCTTCCTCCTCTCCTTCACAGAGGTCACACCTCCATCATAGTCTGAGGCCTCTCCTAGCCTTCTCCGGCCCAGCCCTCCCCAAACTTTTATCTTCTACAGGTGTTTCTCTTGATAAATCTCTTGTACATCTAATCACATTTTGTACCTGCTTCTAGGAGAATTCAAAGTAACACAGCATCAAAGAAAGAGTGTGATCCTGATTACTCTTAGAGAAAAGGTAGATAGATGTGATCAGATAGATGAAGAGGATTTAGATATAGACCTTACTAGGAAGGTAACATTGGAAGAGGAGTGGAGGTAGACCCTCCTTCTGGTAGCTCTCAACATGACCTGAACAGAAGCTAAAGTAGATTGAGTTTGCCTTGGAGGCAAAAGCTCTCGTCAGCGAATCACAAACCTAAATTCTATGTTCCTGGTATTTTATTTTGGTTCTGCTCTTCTTGTCCTGTCAGAGGTCTCCCTGGAGGACTTTATTCTCCCAAAGGTATTACAACCCCTGCTACTCTAAGGAATTCTAGCTTTTTCTCTCTTCTCTGACCTCCAGATGCAGGCCCCCAACCACCTATTAAATGACATCTCAACATGCTCAGATTTGCATATTGAAGTCCTCAGAGCATTCCCACCCAAAAGGAAATTCATCTCTCCTACCCTAAGCCTCCTGCCCCTCCATGTCACCATCTCAGTTAACCTGCCATCCTCCACTCAGACACTCAGGCTAGAACTCTCACACCATTACACACCACGCTGACACCTCTGTCCCCCTCATCTGCCTCTCTCCAGCAATTGCTAACTCCTGTTCTTTTACATCTTAATTATATTTCAAATATGACCATTTTTTCTCTGGCCTTCAAGCCATCTACTGCCAGATTGATACATTGAAAAAAAATGTGTGCAATCCAAATTTTCTATTTATAATTTTCAGTGTGTCTTCACAACCAATGGGATAACAGGAATTGTCATAAAAGATGGTTTATAGCTGAGCCTAAACCCACCTTTTTCAGCTTCTGCAACTCTTACAACAGCCTCCACACATGCTATGTTCTAGCCACAGCTAGACATTTAAATTCTTCCAACATACCAGGCATTTCCATATATCCAGGCTTTTATACTTGGCCCATCACTTAGTATAGCTTGGTAGGCAAGGCATAGTTCTGTGCTTGAGATGTAATTTAAATATTGCCTATTCCTTACGTCTATTCCTGGTGCAACCCATCCCTTCTTCTCTGTGTTCCAGTAGCGCTTTGTACATTTACTGTGGTACTTTCCTCATGATTTTGTAACTATCAGCAACATCAGTCTCTTCCGCTCAATTGCGAGCTTCTCCAAAGCAGGGACTGTATAATGTTTATCTTTATACTTCCATATTAAAGCACAGTTCCTG